CGCAAAAAATCAATAAGAAAACACGTTGTTTCTGCTGGTGGTGTGTAAAACTAAGAAAGATTACCAATTTCATAAATAAATTCTATGGCAAGAACTTGTTTCATTGTTAATTAAAAAAGTACCCACTGTGTATGTATTGTATGCTTTCATTGCAAGAAGATGAGATTAATGAAGTGTAAAATATATTAGAAGAAAATCTTTTGCCATAATCTTTACCACAACCGACAAAAGACTGCTGATTCTCTTCCACTACAAAATTATTCAAAAATCGACAATTACTCTATTAATCTTTTACGACAGTAACTAAACGCTACTTGTCAAAATTCAAAAACGAATGGTTAACGAGTTCGACATATTCTTCAGTTTTAAAAGAATGTAAAAATGACCAAAAAAAAGCATTTTGTTCTATTTCTAATGTACAATTCTCAATCCAGAATAGTGGAATTACTGATATCAATAAAAAGCTCCTGGTTTTTGTCCTGTTTTTTTAGTAAAAATCTCCTGCTAACTCCTGGTTTTTGAAATTTGGATGTGGCAATCCTAGTGGGGTCAGTCATTGAAGATAGGGAAAAGAAGCTCTTGGGTGATATCTAAGCACTACAGTGTGTCATAATCACAAGAACGCTCTTGTTTTTGAGCTTTAAGTAAAAGCTGGTGATCGCACATGTTCGGTTGCGAACCGTTCGGTCACCGAACTATCGGTTTGGTGCATGCCTAGTCAGGTTTTCCAAACAAGAGCGTTCTTGTAATTATGATACACTGTAGTGCTTAGATATCACCCAAAAGCTTCTTCATTAGAAAATTTAGTGCTTGCTCCGCGCTGAACCAAATTGGATAAAAATTGGACGCCAGATACAAAATTTGTCGGTGAATCCGACAGCGGGTTCCTTATAATCACATCTTCACTTCTTTATTGGCGTCGATATAATCAGCGTGATTTTTGCCTAAATTTTATTTTTCTCATTGGTTAAAAATCATTATATCGGATAAGTATTTCAACTATTGACCGATGAGGGCATATTTCTAAACGACTTATTTATATATCATTTTGAAGCTCGTGAAATTCTCTATTGAATGGTACATCTATCCTAGTGGCTAGTTGAGAAACGTTGATCATAGGCTCCGCACCGTTGAAGAGTCACCCACTTGTCACGGTTTCGCCGAAAGTATTTATAATGTTAAGATGCTCTAGGACACTTTTGCCACTATTTTACGTACATGAAATTGTAGCGCAAGAAATTCTCCATCGAATGATATGTTTATCGTAGGGGCTAGTCGAGGAATGTTGGTCATAGGATCCGCACCGTTGAACAAGTCACCCACTTTTCACGGGTTTCCAGACAGTATTTCTAATGTCAACGGGTCCTGGAACACTTTTCTCAGTATCATATATACATTAAATTGTAGTGCGAGAAATTGTCTATCGAGTGGTATATCGATCGTAGTGGCTGGTTGAGAAGCGTTGAGCAGAGGATCCTTATCGTGGAATAAGCCACTCAGTTTTCATGGGTTTCCAGACAAGTCAAGGTGCCCTAGGACACTTTTTTCACTACTTTCTATATAGGAACTTGGAGCGCGGGAAATTCTGTATCCAATGGTATATATATCGTCGTGGCTAGTGGACAAGTGTGGAGCACAGGATCGTCACCGTTGAATAAATCACACGCTTGCTTCGTCTTTGCATAAAGTATTTCAAATGTCGAGGTGCCCTAGGACACTTTTTTCACTACTCTGTATATGGGAAATTGTAGCCCGGGAAAATTTTTGTCGAATGGTATATGTATCGTCGTGGCTAGTGGACAAGTGTGGAGCACAGGATTGTCATCGTTGAACAAAGAAGAGTAAAACTTTCGTTTCAGTAAATTCGACCTAGTTTTTTCTGAGAGCTTTTCTAAGGTCTGCCGAGTGGCTAGAAATGTTCTCCTGCTCATTCTGCATCTAACCATATATGTGTCGATGGAATTCAAGTAGGGGCCGATTCCATCAAATAATCGTCCCCGTCGTTGTATGGTCTTTCATTCTAGATGCCTTTTGAAAAGATCTGGAATGGGAGAGATCCTCGTTCTTATTGCACCCGCTCCCTTGAAAAGATATAGGTGACTGACTGGGTGAGAGGGAGAAAACGATAGAGATACTCCTCTGACCAATGTTTTTTTCAGAAGAACTGAGAGCAAAAAAAGTTTTTCAGTTATATAAAATACTCAGACTCGTTGATTACTATCTTTGGTGAAAGTTTCAAATGTTCTATCTTTTGAATCCTTTCAGCCCCATACTGCTTCCACCTCAGTTACTTACGTTTTTTATCAACCAATAGCTTTTGTAGTATATTTCTCAAAAGTTTTCAAGATGATTTTTGTGGTCGTCGTACTGAGATCTACACCTACTTAAAGTATCATGCGATGCAAACGCAGAAGATTTGAAACGTAGAACAGTTACATCAATTGTATCCCATGGGATAAAGTTGATGTAATTGTTCTATGTTCCGCCAAAAATACTTTTAATAGATGTCGCTGATATTAGCAACATCTGATAAAAAAAGTTGATGTCGAAGTTCTGAGATTTCTTTTTATTAGAAACGCTGCTCTATACTGTGTTTATTTATATTTATATGAAATTTAGCATTATGACAGAGATTTTGAAAAGTAGGCGATGGTGAGTTTTGGCGAATCAGAAATAATCAAATAACTTACCATCGAATGTAAGCTTCAAATATAAGTGAACTCACCAGACTGAGTCACGTTTCTATCGAGGCAAACTAGACTAAACAGTTTGTGCAAACTCCTATAAAAGATGAAAAATACACAGCCTGTTAGTCCCTGCTTTTAGTTTTTGCCATTCTCCCAATCAAAAGGCTTATTTCAGATCTTAAGAGAAAAGTCTGTTCAGAAGATTATAGCAGAAAAGACAAAGCACAGTCTCCCAAAAAGTCTTTGTCTACTTTCAAAAAACAGACTTACCCTGGTTTTTTTTCACCGCAGCACTGGAAATACAGGCTTATTTTGTATACTGTTTCAGTTTTAACATAGAAAAGTCATTGGATGAAGAAGTTTCTACAGCTAACAAAATAGGCTTCTCATTTTTTCGAGCAATTACTGAAATTGGTCGTTATTATTCTAAATAACGAAGAGTGTGCGACTAGTGTAATCTCGGTAATTGGATTAATTGTCTGAAAAAGTAATGTCCCAGTTTAAGTTGAAACTTTTCTATCCTATATCTTTTCGTTACTAAAAATCAAAATAGTATTCATTCACATAGCATTTTATCAGATTTTGTTATATGTAGTACAGTTAATCCGTGTTTTTCTTCTAAATTCTGGTACTTTGATTGTTCATATCTACAGTAATCCGATTTTTAGTCTAGTGCAAACTCTAGTTTGAAATAAAGTATTGTGTGCGTTTCAGATTCTTTTATTGCGTAAGAGATCAATGATGAGTCATGGTGCAGCATCTAATTCAAATGTTAGCTCCGATAATTTGGCTATACTTGTCGATATGGGATTTTCGCTAACTCATGCAAAAGAGGTCAAATAATATCTTTTTGTGTCAAGTAGTCACATTCTCATTCTGTCCTTCTTTTATAGGCACTTCATCGTGTTGACAATTTGGAAGATGCTATCGCTTTTCTATTAAATGACGCACAACATCCTTCGCCACCGTCGTCACCGGGTGTATCACAGGTATTCTTTTTTTTGTCTAAAATCACTTTCTTCAGTCAAATTATTTTCGAGATGGATATCTAGATGAGATTTCTACTATTTTTGTTTCAATATCTATGTGATGTTTTTGATTTTAGGCCGATTCGAGCGATGATGAAACATCGTACTCTCTTGATCCTCGTCGCATGTTATTTATTCTAAATCTTGAACATAATCATTTAACATTTGATAATATTTTATTAAATATTGCTCAATCATCGTTCGAATTGTATGAACAATTATCGACAAATCGTCAACATGTACTCGGTTTTAAATCATGGCATAAACATGGTCAATATAAACAAGTATACGCATGTCAAACTAGTCGATTATTAGAAGAAATTTATTTTCATATTGAACATGATTCACATGAATTAAATAATCAAATATGTACATCCGGTCTTATATTCGATCAACAGAATAAACAACAACCATTATGTTTAGGTAAGATTCTCTAGATGATAAAGATAAATTGACAATAAAGTTGGATGAGATCGCTGGTTAGAGAACCAGTTTTTGACTTTTCGTTTTTGTTTTATCCAGAGATTATTTTTGTTCATAGAATGGACATGTAGAAATCGAATGGACTTAGGACTTATGAAGAAAAGGCATATTCCGGAATGGGTACAAAATTTCTGGAGTGCCAGTCCGAAATGGTGGACTGTCATTCTAGAATAAGAGAAAATTTTTTATTCTGGGTCTAAATACCAGTAAAGACTTTGAATTAGTAGCGGAATAAAAAGTGACAGTTGGATCAGAATTTATTTTATTCATTTACTACTCTCCCGTATGCGATTTGTCGTTAGTTAAAGAAATGACGACTAAACAATTACTTTTTTTGTACACTCGACCGTGCACGTATTGAATATACACGCAGAAAGGAATAGAAAAAACGTGCACTGTCTAAAAGTAAAATGTTTGCTTTCGCTTGTAGTTTCTCTTCTAACTACTATTATCACCTGAAAACTAGACGAAAAGTTCGGCTTTTAAAAAAAGAAATGACAGAATGTAGAATAGTCGTATTCTGGAATGGATACATTTGTCTTGTAGTACTTTTCCCCCTTGATTGAGTCTGAAAATCATTGTTGTTATTGAACATCAGTTGAACGTATCTCCATTCTTCATTGTATTATTTTCTGTCTTTTTAGCTTTATTTGGCTCTCAATCTCAGTTAGAAAAGTATATGAAAAATTTAAAACAACTTGAACATACGTCACCAATGTCAATAATTAGTATAACTTCTTCTTTAACGCCTTCAAAACCGGGGAATGATTCTTCTTCTTCATCTTCCGATCTATGTTCGGATGTTACAAGAAAAGATTAGCTATTTTTGTTTTTTATTTTTATTTTTGTGGATTTGTTTGCGTGCAATATATATATATGTTGTTGGTATTAAAATCTGTTTGTTTTTTTCTTCATCGTTTTGTTAATGTGAATAGATACAATATGTGTATAGGGCTTCTCTTCAAGTAAATATATAATTTTAACTTTCTGTAAGATGAAAGATAGTTTATTCTTATATTAGTTAACAGTATTTGAATCTCCGCCATTGTTACCATTATTTTGGCAAGTTGACATTGTTTTCATCATCATTGAATGATAATATTCTTTAGTCACACTATTAGACATTCTTTTGTAACATCGTTTTAGATTAATAGTAAATGATGCGATGAGACTGATCTACTTATGTCATATCGATGGTATAAGTTTCCCATTGTGAATTTTCACTTTATTGATACATCCTACTGTAGTCAGTCCAAGTGATTACGATGTGTACGTTAAATAAAATCACATATGAGAAAAATTTATTGTATAATACGATCGAAAATCTGTTCGACATTTCAATTGAAAGACAAATATTAATTGAACTGATCTTAATAAATCAATCACGTTGAAATCGTGGCAATAGTGACAAATGCATTGATTAATATATTTTTTTAGCACAAATTTATTATGGTGAGTAAGTTATATTGAACTGATCTTAATGTTGAATAATTAATTTGTTTATTTTCTCGGCTAATTATTTCAAAAATAGAGTTTAGATGGATACAGTGTATATAGCAATAAAAAGTCGAATGAAGTATTGTTATAAACACATTGATGATGCTGTTTTTTAGAGATATTATCGTAGTGACTAAGGCCACCCAGTCAGTCATAGTCATTCCAGAAAGGCGCAGAAAACTCTGTTTACGAAAACTTTTACGCGTTTAGCGAGTTTCGAATAATAATGTGTAAGAAGCTGCGAGTGTGTAAACCGCAGGAAACGCACGTTGCCGTGTAAACCAAGGCTTTATACGCGTGTTCCTGCGGTTTATTTTTACACACTCGCAGGTTCTTGCGCGTTATTATTCGAAACTCGCTAAACGCGTAACATTTTTCGTAAACAGAGTTTCCTGCACTTTTCTGGAATGACTATGACTGACTGGGCACGATAAGTTATCGTCGACTTACGAGTTGTTATGTTAAAGTTGCATTTAATATGTTATTTATTAGAGTCATACGCTGTGATCACAAATATAGTATCATTAGCTGAATAGATATTTTTCTTAAATTAGTCTAAATCCAGTATTGTAGACAATATTTTCAATTACAATTTGGTATCAATTCTAACTTTGAATCATACTTTCTTTTCAGTGTTGACAAAGATTTTAAACATAATCTTAAAAGTACATTTTTAAAAGTAAATACAAGAAAAAATGAAAGGATACCTGCCAAGCTATAGCTGAAAAGATTTTCTAAAAGACTGGATTTAGTAAAGTCTCTATTAGAAAATACAGTCAATCGGAAAGGGAGAAGTTTCTGACTGTTAAAATTTGAAATTATTGAAATTATTCTTACTCAAAAACTAACTAACAGTGGTAGTTAATCATATCACATTTATTGTGATCAGTGACTAATAAGTAATGTATATATCGTTAAAATACCAAAGACCTTTCCTTATGTACTATCTTTTGGACTGAAATAGCAGGCCAAAATGTATATTTGTTTTTATGAAAAACTTATCATCCGTATCACAGCGGAATAGCAATCATTATTTCTATTATATAGCTTAACCAAGTTCGAAACGGGTAATAGTAAAACATGAAGACACCCACAGACAGCACACAGATAGCCATTGACAGCTACGCATACAGCATAGAGACACCCACAGACATCCACGTCTACGGACATGGGTACGACACAGAAGTGAATGTCTGTGTAGTAGTTATTTTTGGTTGTTTGTAGGTGCCTCTATGTTGTCTGTGTAGCTGTCAGTGGCTATTTGTTGATGTCTATGTGGTGTCTGTAGATGTCTTCATGTTTTACTATTACTCAGCTCGAAACCCGAGATTTGGAAGAATAATAACAATTTTTATACTCTTTTACCTACAGTAATCAAAAGAGTATTCACACTACCCTACGTTTTCTCTAAACAGATAAATGATGCCTTTCGATGAGGTATTTCTAGTCTACACATATCTAACGTAGTGACTTAGGAGAAGTATCACAGCAAGTATCGTTTATACTATTGAATTTTCTCATATTGACTATATATTAAGTCATATTTTTGTACTAGGCTTAAGCGAACTATGTCGACACACTCATTTTTGAAAAGACACCCAGATGAAGAGAATGAGGGATCAGCTAAAACTGGACAGAAGCAAGGAAATCATAAGCATCAACGTTTATCCCAATGTTCTTTATAGATGAGCCGATTGAACTGTTAGTTTATTGCACAATTATATCTGATGAAGTAAGTCTTTCTCTTTATAATGTATCGCTATTATACCGTTGATTCCTCAAATTTCAGCGGAAACTGGCTCAAATGAGAATGACAGAATGTATGGATAGTTTCTCTTCCCTTCAGATCTATGAAAAAGAAGGAATATTGTACTATTAATGTGTCACTATTCTAGATTTGGATGATGACTTAATTTGTGTCTGTGTAATTTATCTATATGGAAATGTTTTGATCTTTTGGCGTATGATATTCTATATCGATGATGTTGTGTCTTTGACATGTATATAAAAACCAGTTGTTAATAAAATAAGTGAAAGGTAATTGAATTTGTAATATGGAAAATGGATGATAGATGAGGAAAATTGACAATTGAAATTTACACAATGTAAACAAATGAAATGAATTCTTTTATTCTTCTTCTTTTTTGTTATATTATATTGTTGAAGATTTTTATTTATTTACTGGAAAAAAATAGCTTTCAGAAAAGATAGAATCATGATAATTTCGACTTTTCTCTTCAATTTAAGCTTGTGCTAGTTTTGTCAAAGATTTTTTATTTTCTATTTCGTTGCATAATGAATATTTTTATGTATCGTTGAGAATGAAAGTAGTCGAACTCTTAGTTGTTAGTGTTGTGACTATTTTCTTCCAGGTACTGCGAATATTTGTTGAATATTTCATGTTTTTTCCTATGATGTCTTCTTGTCCGTATGCTATTATCGAATGTTATCCGTGTTTTTGTTACCTATTTTTAAGATACAGAAATAAAATCTAAAGACATTGTTTTAGTAATAAAGATTGAAAAGTTCGTATTTAATAAAATCTGTTATGCATGGTTTTCTAGATGAGAAAAATCATTGAGAGTTATGTACGAGGTTTAATCGTGGTAGTAAACGCGACAGGAAATGCAATACAAGTTGCATTGAATTCCGAGAATATTATTTTTGTTTAGTCTAATTTGTTTCGGATTTTTATTCTTCTTCAGTTTCATCCTCCTTTTCCTCTTTTCAAGTCAATTTTCCTCCTTTTCCGCTTTTTTCTAAGAATTTTAGAGAAAAGCAACAAAATTTAAAAAGAATGAATACGAATTACCCTGAAAGAACATATTTGAAAATTAGAAGAACAAAAGTTCTACGCTTATAACAAGCAATTAGTTTTGCATGAACAACACTCATTGTTCGACGTTGACTTCGATCTGACAAAAGATTTACTGCTGGTCACCGAGAAAAAACTATCTAGCGGTAAATCAGAACAATTATGAGGTGTATTTTCTGTTTTCTACAAATTTGAGTATTGTATTACTAAAAACAATGCAAAGGAACTGAAATTGTTAAAGAAACTGTATGGAAACTAACACCAAAAAAAAAGATCGACTATCTTTATTTCTATATAATTTCCGTTTCAGATGTCGTTCAAAAACAACTAGATTTCATTTGTTTCTCTTCTATTATTTCAGATTTGATTCATACGGTTTAGGAGAAAAATGTCCTTTTTTCAGCGAAACAGGAATCTGATAACAGACGCTCGATACCTGATAAGTCGGATTCTGATCTGAAATGTGTCGTAGTAATTTTTAGGCTGAAAAACTCATTCCTCTTTGTTCAGGAAATTGTACACGCAGCACAAGTAGTTGTGCAACTAACGATGAAATTTGGAATAGGTTCAATATCGATCTTCCTTTGGTATATCAGAAGTTGTGATGATAAGCATTGTAGTTCATTCGAATTTCACATGTCTTCGTGTTACTCACATCGTTATTGATTTAAACGTTATTCATTACTTTCGAAAAAGAATACAGAGAAAATAAAAAAATAAAATGAGTATTAGGCAGTTTCTACTTCAGATGCACACAAAATCGGCAAATCATTATATTACTGTAGATCAGAAAGATATTCGGTAGAACAATTAGTACTATGTGTAGGAAGAAGGAAACAAGCAAAAAAAGAAGAAGGAGATAGAAAAAAGAAAAGTATGTATAGATGATGTTTATTGTACAGTAAAATCTCTTTGTTTTGAACACCATCGGGACTTTTTAAAAATGTTTACTATAGAGAGGTGATGTATGATAGATCTTTACCATCTTTATTATCATTAATTAATTCAATTTTTTCTTTTAAAGTTAGTTCGTGTCGTGATGTCATTCTTTTTTTCATACACACAATAGTCAGTATTAGTACAAAAGCAGGGCGGAGATTTCACCTGAAATACCTGAAATTTCCAAAAAGTTTTAGACTAAAGACGATTTTCTTTGATTTCTACTGAAATTAAAAACATTTCTATTAAAAATCTCATTAGATAAAGCTTTCAAAGTTACCCATAAACCCAGGCTTTTAAACCTCAGAGTCTAAAATTGAGTGAGTTACCGATTTTATATGAAAAGCCCCATACAAAAAGTCGAAAAAGTAGACTTTTGTCATATTTTAATTTTTTCTTGTTCTATTTTCTATTTTAAAAATCCGAATTACACATAAATCGAACGAGCAGAAAAAACTGAACAAGACAGGCTAGTTTTAGTAGGATATCATATCCTTAAAGAACAGAATACAGAGTACCATGAACACTTTTACAAAAAAACTGCTAAATATGTCGAATGAAACTGTATTTTGGCCTCCTGAATTTTTTTGGAAAAAAACTGAAAAATTTTACGCGCTATTTACCTGAAAAACCTGGCAGGTATTTCGAATTTTTCACTCTCATCCGTGTAAAAGGGACAGACGATAATCAGTAGAGAGAGAAACATTGATGTGCGTTCACATTAGAGAAGTTATAATAGCAGGAGGAACTGAAAACGGTGTTCATGTTCAGAATACCGAGGTGCATTTCCAGCAAAAATCGTCCCGTCGGATCTGAGAACGTTCATAATAAGGAGGTGTTCACTTTACAGATGTGTTCATTAATATAGGTTTTACTGTATGTGGGATTATGATACGAGTTAGTGATCTCTTTTTCAAGACATTTAGGGGGTTTCTATGAAACTGATAACTGAATGATATATCTCTGTGTGTAAATATTTAGTGGAATCGAAAGTGTCGATGGTTCATTGTGCAATACATTCCTTAAGTTTTTATAGAGAAAAAGTTTCCTTTGACGTCGAAAGCGAGTACAACGGAACAACGATTGTTTTTTATAGAGATCTGTATTAAACTGTGAGAAGTGTGTTCGAATTTAGTAGTAGAAAATATCGAGCTGTCTTGGAATATTATGTACTCTATGTACAGAGAATGTGGAATAAAGTGATTTATTGAGAACTGTGACAAATAGTTTAAGAATGATGCTAGATTTGACTTCATTCGACAAGTTGTTCCACTCATTTATCATCGATAGAATAAAAGTATTTTGAAAAGTGATATTGTTCGTTTGCATATTTTGAATTTGATTACTGATATGAGCGTCTCTTTAGTGTATAAAAGTCTGGATTAGAGGGATGAATTTTGATAAGTATGGCAGGACTAGACCATTCACAATTTTATAAAACAACATCAATATCTGTTTTTTCTAAAAAGTTCAGTGAGATTGATCCAACCCAAAGAGGAGAATATTTTTTCTCTGCTAGCTAACTATAAAGTTCCGCTAACAATGAATCCCACTTAATATTTCAAATCAAATAATCTTTTTTGAATGCGGTGAATATGTGTTGATGTAAATATAATCTGTATAACTTATGGTTTGCACGAAAAAAGATTTGTAAATTTGATCCAAAATAGACGTTTTAAAATGGTATTTATGACATTTTATGTTTATGTGTATTCATTAAGCTCAATTGTGTTGTACCTAACAAACAGCGGATTAATAGCTCTACGAGGACAGTGAGTAAAGTGCATGCTTTCACATTTGTCTATGCTAAGTAATATCTGCCATTTTACCGATCATGACAGAATTTTTGATAGGTTGCGATTCATGTCGGATATAGGGGATTGGATATTAGTTTTACTGCAATATAAAACCGTGTCATCTGCTAGAAATCGCGTGATACAATCGTGGTCTTATCAACGTATATCACGAAAAGAAGAGGAGATCTTGTTGTGGAATATCTCGATTAATTCGTAATGGCTTATAAGAACATCCGCTCCCCAGGTGAAAAACATTCGGTCGGATCCCGACGGATCAGTTTCATTCCGACGATTTCCGGACGTCTGACCGGATCCGACCAGCGAATTCCGTTCAATTTCTGTTCCTTCCGTTATATCCCAATGTCTGGAATTAAGGTGGATCACCGGATCCTATGAGCGAACCGTTCGAATCTGATGGTCGGAAGTGAATGGATCCATTCACCTATAGCTTTCTTTTCTCTCTCTTTTCTTTTCTTTCCTTTGCTGCTCTGTACTGATTCGCTTCTCGGTGTTTTAGTATAAATACGACACTGTAGAACATGAAACATGAGATTTATTTTCTCCAAGTTTTCGCACTGAACAGCGTGAGTCATCGAAACTCACTGCTGTTCGAAGATGTGTGAAGTCACACACGCCTTTGGCTAGTCCGGGGAACTGATTCAAAAATAAATAGTAAACAAGAAGAAAGATATTGATGGCTAAAAACTTTTAACGGCTAGAAAAACTACCCGTAAATCCGGTGCTTCTGACGGTCGGATCGTTTTCATACAATTTGCGATCATAATCCGGGAAATAGGATTCCAATGCAATCCACCACTGATCGGGACGGATTTTATCGAAATCCGACGCCTTCGCGCGTCTTCCGACGTCGGATTCGACCGGCTCCTGAGTCGGGAAGATGCTCAATCAGATGTTCTTAAACGACGTACGATCAAAATGACGTTTTTTTTCCAGTTCTGTATTTTAAAAATTTTATTAAAATAATGTGGAATTTTTCGTTCTGTTAAAAATCAAAAAACAAAAATTAACGTCATTTTCGTCGAACATCGTTTAAGAATATCATGTTCGCTCAATTTCTAACCAGTCCGAAAAACTTAAAGCATTATAGCCATTTTTGGTTTTAATTTGACAACATTTCTAGAAAGAAGAAATATTCTGAAACTATTACAAAAGACTGGTTTTAACACCGTCTTCTGTAAAAATAAAGTTTCTTTATCCACGTTCATGTTCTCATCACATAGGTGAATTACAATGCGGTTTCGTCTTTTATTTTTTATAGATTAAAACTATGTTTGGTTTTGGAGGATCAAATAAATCGGCTACAAATACGCCAACTCAACCACCTACACCAAGTTTTGAGGATCAAGTACCTACAGTAAGTACTTTTAATATCCTAGAAATTACAACATATCTAATATTATGGCTCCTGCTTGTCAAAACATGGCAATTTTGGTCAAAAATACCGATTATGAGATTTATACTTAGTTAGATAGCCCTAACTCTCTACTTTCGAATGCACTATGGTTTGTTGGTTTTACGATGGTTTTGGGGGGTTTTACGGAGATCTTTCTGAAACACTCAAAATCAGAAAAAATGACTTTTTTTACAAATTTCAGCCATTAGAAAAGTATCCCGGACGTATTTCTACATGTCTTCATTCGATTCACCATAGTCGATAACCTATGACGAACTATTCTCAATTTCTTCCTATACCACACGTTGAAGAAAAACAACTTCATTTCTAAAGTCAAAGTTTGTTTTGCGTTTTTCCCAAATTGGGTTTTTCTTCTTTTTTTTTACCTGCTCGTGCGGCCCGGATTTTTCCGCCATTTTCACGCTAGAAAGCTCGGGAAGGTCTTAAAATAAAGCGAAGGCTTTTAAGCTAGGCCAGATTTTTTATTTTCAGTTTAGTTTTTGGGAAAAATAAAATTTTCTAAAAAGTAAGGCGTAATTTTTTCAACTTTTTAAATACAGCTTTCGAAAAAAATTAATCGGTAAAACTTAAAAAATCCGACCTTGCTACGTTGTAGCGACAAGTCTTGGCGACATTTTAAGATGTACCCGAGCTTTCTGGTATGTAAAATGGCGGAGAAATCTGGGACGCACGGACACCTACTTTTTGACCCTTAATTTCGAGATAACTCTGGGGAAAACCCAATACTTACGAGGGAACATTTCACATGTCCAACTCCTTTTGACTCCATCTTTTGGTCATAAGTAGACCTCAATGAGGTATGAAAAACCTGAAAAGGATTCGTGCCCTCGCGCCTTTATTCCCGAGATATTGAATTTTTACTCGAATTTTCCCCATGGGATCTAGATTTCAAGCAAAAACGGAGTTTTGAATTTCATGTTGTAACGTATCACATATTGTAGTCGAGACCAATTGTAGTCCGATGAAAAAAGGCCGAGCTGAAAACCTCTTTTCGCAGCGGTGAAAGAACACAGGGAATATTCATATTCTGCGAAAATTTTATCAAGATCGGATGTGCTGGGACAAAAATAGCTTTTTGACAGGGGAGCCTTAAAACTAAACAAGAGATTAATTATGTCATTGCTCGTCTGAACTCGCTTGGTCAACACCTGTTTGTAGAAAAGAATATGAATCAGAGCGTTCTGCTTTCTCGTTATCTGGACAACTTAATTATTAAGTCGACTGAGTGAAACTCAAGGAGGCTTATTGCACTCTAGTGGGTTATACGTTATGGACCATGCTGATTCCGAATGTCTATATGAGACGAGCCGCCAAGCCTCCATAGAGCCGTCAAAATTCTGATCAAAATGAGACATCTCCCAACTCTGCATGATCTTTCTTTGCAAAGTTATAGAATTTACAAGAAAAGCTTTAAATGTTCATTGTCAGCTCAAAGCTAAGAAAGGTGGCAGAGAGCTCGAAAATGTCTCATTCTACTCAGAATTCAGTTCTCTATCGATCTAGATCATTTTGGGAGTTTGCGGTTTTTGAGAAAGTTTCTGGAGTCCTGACCCTTTTGAAGATCTTCAAAGATTCTGAATGGGATACCATTAGATTCCTTATCATTTTCTACCTCACAATCTCTATTGTCAGATTTTTCGGACGAAACGTGTTGGTTTTATTGCCAAATGACCTGAAGGATTTTGTCGAAAAAGCGCTGTTTTTCAGTAAATGCCGAATATCCCGACGAGGAAAACAAATTTCGAAAAACGCTCTATGTTCTTTTGAAGCTCAGTCTCTGGCACATCTACCCATGGAAAAACATCGGCTCTAAGACCACTCGAAAAACCTTGAAAGACAAAGGGTGTAGCGTTTTCAACCCGACCTTGACGGACTGGACCAAAAATCGAGTTTTGGATCTTGAGACTGGAAAGAGAGTCCTCGGCGTTCAGTTTTCAGAACTGAATCTGAATATCGTAACCGCGGAGCCCTGTGACATTTCCTGGCAAAATGGCAGAGCTCTTTCTATAGGTTAGCCTTTTTTCCGTTTTTGACATACTCTCAGTGTTTTGAGGATATCTCAGTGAGAAAAGGGTTTTAGAAGGCGAATTAGTGATATTCGTGACCGCCGCTGAAGCCTCTATCGTATGGTATGTAAAGCATCGAAAAACAAATATCACTCGAAGTTTTTTTTTTCGTCTTACAGAAATAAGAATAAATTAATTTAGGGCTTTTCTTGTAAATTCTATAACTTTGTAAAGAAAGGCCATGTAGAGGTGGGAGATGTCTCATTTTGATCAGAATTCGTGGGCTACAATCGTGATCTGTTAAGAGAAAGTTTTAGGGCCTTTTCGAGGTTTCTGGAAAACTGGTTTTTCAGAAACCCACTCTAGGAAGGCCCAGAGGTTCGTCTCATATCGATATTCGAAATCAGCATGATCGATAACCTATAATCCATCAGATTTTGACCAGAAAGCGATTAGACAGTTTGGAAAGGTTCCTCGTCAGTCGACTGTTCAATCTTCCCGAAGAGTAGTTGGTCTCTAGTTTATATTGAGATTGATACAATAGAAAATTCGGCTTTTATCATAGAAAAAGAGGCCAAAGCATTATTTAAAGATCACCGAATTAACGAACGCGTTAAACTTCTCGAATTAGCGAAGTATAAATGTATTTTGTATGCATCAATAGTACGCATTGTTAAACGATCAGTTATTGTAGAAGTACATTAAAGAATTTGCATACTTTTTGGAGAAAAGAATGTGTTATATGCTTTTACCAATATTTCAATGTACCAACTCAAAATATTTTGTTTCTGTTTCAGTTGCGTGAATTTTTACGTGAATATAATCGCATATCCGAAGTGTGCTTCAATGACTGTATCAATGATTTTAGTGGAAAAGCGGGGGTTTCTTCAGCAGAGGTAAAAGAATATTGCATCCTTTATCATATTTTTTTCCGTTTAACGTTTTATGTCTGTTTTTTTTCTAGGGTTTATGCGTTGGTTTTTGTTTAGAAAAATTTCTAAAAGTCACTCAGCGTATATCACAACGTTTTCAAGAGCATCAAATGTTAATGAATGAAAATCAAATGATTGTTGGAAAAAAAACAGGACTATTTAAATAAACACTCATTTAGACAAAATGTTTCTGTTCACCCATTGTTAATTTTTATATTGCCATTTGTCTTGTAAACAATAAATCAGCATTCAGTGTACCGACGAATGTCAAAACACAACGAAGGTATTTTTCTTTATTCATTTTTCGTTATTCGCACGTTTCATGGACAGAGTAGTATGTTGCATAAAGAACAGGGTGAATTCAAGGAGACTTGCAGAAGAGGAGTACATGTTCGAACTCTTCACTTATCGTCTAATATAACAAATCATGTATATTCTGGAACTAGATTTCATGCTCAGTCGACTCGTAAAAAGACTTTTTGTATTGGGCCGTTGGCACCGGGAAAAAGAATTTTTCTATCTGTGGTAAGTGTTTTCCGAAAAACTGTGTTCAATAAAGTACGCGCGCCGTACTTAACCACAATCCATACTCGATGAAACTTTCGCAAAATTATGGATTACGAATGTGGATCCATTACGGAGACGAATATGACACATGTACACTATTAGCGCAAACACTCCTAGGCTGACTTATAGGTAAAAAAGGAAAATCTATTTTTTTTCAGCTCAGAAAACATTTTTATTGAAAAGTAGTTTGATATTTAGAATCAGCGCAAATGACTGCATCGAATGATATGTAATTTGTAAGTATTTCTGTAGCAGACTTTTCGACCTAATGGACTCCAAGAGCTGAAGCATTACTGCAGCAAATTTTGACTAGGCATTTTGATATTTAGATTTTCTATATCTTGTTGGAAGATATTTCTTTACAAATTCTGACAGTTTTTAAACTTTCACAAAGAGTTAAATTATTTTTACTAAAGACAGCTAGAACAGGCAAAACGTACCAACCCTGATGGATAATGTTGCACCTACGTTTAAAATGTTGCTGTGTGTGTGCTTTCTGTTCGTGAGCGTTCTTTTATGTTGTTCTCTAACTACATGCGTTATGTGTGTCTGTTTGACTTATTATTATATTAGCAATTTCGCTTGTTGACCAATCAAAATGATGTTATGGGTCTATTCTTCTTTCTTTTTGCTGTTCTATATTTATTCAATGGAAATCCATTTCTTTCGCTTCTTTTTACAAATAAAATTTAAACTAAATGTTTTCCTCGATAAACCTCTATCTAGAGTAACGGAAAACTGAACAAAATTCAATAAGATCTCTCTACCGAAAAGAGACACCACAAGAACTTGGTGAAAATTCGCCGAAGTACAGCGATCGACCAGTAAACTGATCAGTTACTTAATGCGAACTAGAGTCCTCTATGAGTATGCCAACTGATACCCTACACTACCCTATTTTTTGGTACTCCAGGCCAACCTATAAAAAAATAAAAAATAGCTGTATCGAAAAAATCCACTAATCACAGCGAAAAGCTCAATTTCACCTGAAATTGTTTACAAAATAAGCTTTCATCGATTTTTACGTCAAACAAATCATTGACTTGAATTCAAAATGAATAAATGATGTTGGAGCATTGAAATGAAAACAAAATCAGCATGATGTGATCAACAATGCGCATAAAAAATTTAACCCAGTAATTAATATCATTGATCATCCACCGGATGATGCAATTTTTTCATTGTTCGGAGGAAAATGTCTTCTGTGTTGTTTTGGGTGTCGAATGTCGATATTCACTATGCTCACACCCACACTCTACACTTAGCCTCACTTCACACCTTACGCTACTGGAGAACAGGCCAAACACAAAAGGTGTTGAATATACAGGATATCCCAAAAAGATGTCTAACATGTAGAAAACTAACAAATGTACAGTCGACCACGGGAATCCGTCTATAAAATTTTGTTCGAAATATTGAATATGTGGAAGAATAGAGATTTCTTTGCTCGATCGTCCTGCATATTCAGTAGTTAGAACAAAATTTTCCAAATGAATATTCTGACTATATCGTTTGATAGAGAATTTTACAAGCTTCAAAATGAGCTATCAATAAGCCTTTCAAAAATATGCCCACATTGGTCAATAGTTGAAATACTTGGCCGATATATAACTATTTTTACCCGTGACACGACCTTACCACGAATACAGAAAACGACATTACACAGTAAAAAATATTGTGTCGCTCTTTGGGTTGCAATAAAATGTGTCGCAGGTCCTGTGAGAAAATTGGGTCGCAAAAGAACGTGTCGCATGTTTGTGTCGTCGTTACTAAGAGCTTTTAGACGCAGTCCTTGAGGCCATTTGAGGATCTACTCTGTTAAAAAACTTGCTAAATTTTATGTTTTACTATTTTCAATAGTTTTTATTAGGATTTTTCTCGGCTTCGCTTCAATTTTGATGAGCTATAGGTGGCGCTAATAGGTAAAAGATAAGAAAATTTTCGGGTTTTTTAAGTTCTTTCAAGTTTACATTGATGTTATTCGTGGCTAAAGATCCCTGTCTAAGTCTATTTAACCTTTTTTCTATGTTAAACATTTTTTCTGTGACGAAAACCAACCAATCCGAGGCCTTGAGTACGCTGTTAACGTCAGATCTGAGAAATTGAATATTTTGAAGGCCTGTGTATATTACGGGCGGATTGAGCTCGTCGACATTACGTGGTGCACCCAAAACGAACTAAAAATATTCTTAAAATCGAATAAGAGATCAAAAACACCTAATTTCCACTGTTCTCTTTATAGTAGAAATACTCAGCGGAATGTGTCCCATATGATTATGTCGCAATTTGTGACATATGCGACACATTATTTTTTTAGTGTAAAATCGTTTTTTGTATGCCCGGTATACCTCTTTAGAGTTTCTGAAAAACTGGTTTTCCAGCAAACCGGATCTTCAGAAGTCGTGAACACGCATCTTTTAGGGTATTTACTACCTCACTGAGGTCTATCAATCCATGTACAAATCGCTGGAACCGGAAGGAGACATCTCGAAAGGTTTCCTCGTAAGTGTCACTTCAAGTGAGAGACACTTCGTAAGTGTCACTTCAAGCGAGAGACACTTCGTAAGTGTCACTTCAAGCGAGAGACACTTCGTAAGTATCACTTCAAGCGAGAGACACTTCGTAAGTGTCACTTCAAGTGAGAGACACTTCGTAAGTGTGTGCAGCAAAATTGGAGGTTATTTCCCCCTTTGTTACCCACCATTTTGTAGAGTTTAGAAAGAGCTTTCTTTCGATATATAATGTAGACCCCAATCTGGGGTTCTTTCATGGTGCGAAAGTTGAAATACTATCGTTGATTATGCTAAAAAGGGCATTTTTAACAGTAATATGGCAAAAACATGAGTGTTGGCGGTGTACCTAACAATTGAGCAATAGACAGTGTTCGCCGTTTAAAGCTACATCGAATGGTATATAGGAGTTTCCTTCAAACTTGTTGTGTTCTGAGAAAATTACGAAAAACGCCTCGGAATGGGCTCGCGGAGCTATTGTTCAAAGCTGATCGATTTTCTGACAGATATGAGGTCCAAAGCAGAACCAAGGGTATAGAACCCCATAAAATTGTATGCTCTTTCATTCTTGCTACCTGTCGAGAAGATATGAAATGAGGCCGATCCTCGTTCTTATTGCACCCCGTCCTTTTTCATTTATTGTTCAAAAATTCTTTCTTTCTGCATTCCGCCGATTTTTATCAATAATAGACTGATTCCAGCTGGTAACACGAAAGACGTCTGTCTGTCTGTTCATAGTTCTTTACTTTTCTTATAAAAGAAAAAGCTATGGATAGACAACAGAGATATTTCTTTACAAATTCTGACAGTTTTTAAACTTTCACAAAGAGTTAAATTATTTTTACTAAAGACAGCTAGAACAGGCAAAACGTACCAACCCTGATGGATAATATTGCACCTACGTTTAAAATGTTGCTGTGTGTGTGCTTTCTGTTCGTGAGCGTTCTTTTATGTTGTTCTCTAACTACATGCGTTATGTGTGTCTGTTTGACTTATTATTATATTAGCAATTTCGCTTGTTGACCAATCAAAATGATGTTATGGGTCTATTCTTCTTTCTTTTTGCTGTTCTATATTTATTCAATGGAAATCCATTTCTTTCGCTTCTTTTTACAAATAAAACTTAAACTAAATGTTACTGACAACGAACTCTTTCTCGTGATATAATTTGTTATTAACACAAAGTCGTATAATAAAATGAAAAGAAAGAAAAGTGCGCCAGAATTTTTTCCTTCAACCGAGCACGTTTGAATGATATACTTGTGGGGTTTCGTCTCTCGAAAAATCTTAATTAAGATTTATTAAACTGGCATACATTGTAGATACCCTTGTTTTTTATTCAAATAAACATTAAGACTCAGACTAATAGTAAAAGTCTTTTAAAAATAACTTGTTTTTCCTTCTCTGTACAATTCAATATGACCTGAATGAAAAAAAAACACTGGTACATTATTTTTCTTTCTATCGTTGACGCAAAACGACATAATCATACAATTTTGTGGTGCTTTTCATTAGCAGTACTCGCACGTTTCTTTTACGCTTGACCTACTTTCGTCATTCTAGTATTGCAAGAAACCGAGCACATTTCTTTTACGACTTGTTCTCGATAATTTTATGGGTACCAGTTACGTTAGACGCGACCTTTTCCTCAAACTCAAAGATCTATCTCGAAAGAAAGCTCATGAAATTCTGCAGAGAACAGTACTTCACTATAAGGATTTCTGAAATGGCACGCTCGAACATTTTGTTTTGAAAGGTACATCATGGTAGCGCTGTAGGAAAGGACTCATTTCAGCATAGACTTATTCCCCCGGGGTGTCCTCATTCATAATATAAAAACCATACACTTATAGTGTGTTTCATTCAAAAGTTATTCAGAAACATCTGTAGCCTTGATATTTTGAAATACATACCGGATCTTCAGAAGTCGTGAACACGCATCTTTTAGGGTATTTACTACCTCACTGATGTCTATCAATCCATGTACAAATCGCTGGAATCGGAAGGAGACATCTCGAAAGGTTTCCTCGTAAGTGCCACTTCAAGTGAGAGACACTTCGTAAGTGTCACTTCAAGTGAGAGACACTTCG